ATTTGTTCATCCAGATGGCATGTCTATATAAGAATCCATAAGAACTAAATACCCAAGAGAAAAAAAAATATTATATGATGATAAATAGTTTTAGTGCATGTAAATATTACAATCTTTTTACAGCAATACAATACAAAGATACAAATATATAATAAATATTGAATGAATAAATTTGCCACCTTGCTAAAAATGAAATCTAGTGCACTGTATAAAAATATATATTTTTTATTAAAGGAACACTGTACTGTCAGGAATAGAAACATGTATGACACTATAGTGCTGGTGTGGCTGTTTAGGTGACCGTACCCTTGCCGGCCACACTGAAAAGGTGATTTTACTAATTTTTTCTCCCATGCTGCGCATGTCTCGCAGAAGCTTTCCCCACCTGGCTCCACCTCCATGGCTGAGTTCTTCAGTCTTGATGACTTCAACCAATCCAATGCTTTACAAAAGTAAAGCATTGGGAGGCTATTGCGCAACTAGCTATCAGTTGCCTTCTAAATCCATTGAACTCAGCTTATCAAGTGAAAAATGAAATTAGTAGAAAATATAATAGAAGCAGAATAGATTTTCTAACTACAGTACTGGTTTTGCAACCCAGCGTAATGCAGAGAGCAGTGGTATAAAATGCACATGGAGCTTAAAAGGACACTCGACTGCCCAAATAATAAATAAATAAATATTTAGTTTCCCCCTGGACAACTAGGGAAAGGCAGCATAACTGCTGCCCATGATTGTGGGCTGTCTTAAAAAGAGAAACAAATGTAGCAAAGGGAAGGGTTTTGTGGAGAGGGAGAGGGAGGAGACTTACCAGTTGGCAGGATCAGTTGAGGGCCCCTGACTGTTTTTCTGGCTGACTGTAACCTGTAAAATAAGCAAACAGCATCCGTTAGCTCGCCTAAGTTCACAACAGTTATACCCTTCCCCACACTTGCTGTCTCTTTCTCCCTTCCCCATTATCAAAGCTGTATGGAGTACCCCAGAGACTGATCTGCAGAAACTCCTGCAGTCCTACCTGGAGTTGCACGGCCAGAGTGACCTGGATGCCCTGGTTTCGGGTGTGAGGACTGTGGCTAGCCCAGCCGCAGATGCAGAGACCGGTCGGAGCGATGGACCTGGTGGAGAGAGGGCCAGAAGATCAAGGCCTCCGTCGCTCTTATCCCCCAGCCCGGTGCGGTGAGGAGATCTGAGGAGGCTGGAGATTTCGGTGAGGTGCCGGCCCATGATGGAGTCGAGAAAAATCGTGGAGGTCCAGCCAGAAGTGACGGCATGCGGTGTGTTCACTTCGAACATCAGCGTCATCGTGCAAGGCAAGTATGTGATGTTGTCGCGCATGAGGAGCGTGGCCGTCACAGGCCTTGCATTCCACGCTGGATTTGACGGCAGACGGAAGGAGGAACTCCAGGAATGGATCGCGGTTGGGCCTGGCGGATGGCTGCAAATCTGTCATCACCACTCCAATGTCAGACAGCTCCATTTCCGGTTCAGAGGAGGAGGCCACGATGGTTCCTGCTCAGGATCCTCAGGCAGATCCTGGGACGCCCTGGCTGGGACCAGGGAGGGGGAGAGGGTTTCCAGGGTAGTGTGCCTGGGTTGCAGAGTCAGGAGGTGCTGAGTTTTCTTAGGGCAGTGATAGATAGGCTTCCTGGGGTTTGTCCTCTCCCTGCCTCTGCCCCTTTCCCCCTTCCTTCCAAGTCCCTGAGCCAGGGTAGGAGTATGGAGGGTGTGCTCACAGGGGGAGCACGTCCGTGCTTGCCAGGCTGTGAATTGTGCCCATTATGTGTCGTTGGACGTCAGGGACAAAATTATTAAAGGTGAGTATGTGAAATTGCTGTCCCTGGTTCCCCCAGGCGAGGTGTCATGTCGGATGGGAAAAAATGTAAGCAGCTGCAACTGCTGCAGGGGTTCTCCATTTTTGCAAGCATTTTAAGACAGAGTTTTCCAGAGAAGGCACCAGCATTGTTTGGGTACTTAGACCTGATTTGGGGGGGGGCATATAAGATATATGGGGTCAATGCTGGTTTAAGTATGACCAGCAATTTTGGCAGAAGCTGGCAGTGAGTCCAGGCCTGGATTTTCGGATCCCAGACAGGAGCCTATGGCTGCTGTTAATGACTCCCTGTCGGCCGGCCCCCTTTCCAGGTGCAGCCGGCGCACAGTCCAGTGCGCTGGCTGAGCAGCGCTAGGGTGTTTGTTGGCTCTTTAATGAGAACCACTGCAGGTGGTATGGATCTTGCAGATTCAAACATGAATGCTTTGATTGCGGTGCTTTAAAAAAGACAAGCAAGGAAGTAGATTTACCAGAGAGGACGTACCTAGAGCGGAAGACGCCAGTGAGCGTGGTAAGGATGCGCCTGTGGCTCGACCAGAACCCCAGGCGTAGGGAGGCGCAGATTTTACTGGATGGGTTTTCAGTGGGGTTTTGGATACTATTTGTCCATTCGGATTCCCTGTCGCTTGCGGAAAATTTGTGTCTGGTGGTTGGCAAGGAAACAAATCTGGAAGGTAAGCTTAGGAAGGGAATGCTGTTAGGTAGGATGGCCGGGCCACTCGACTTGTTACCCTTTCCCAATTTATGGGTCTCTCCCCTAGGGTTGGTGCCCAAGAAGGATCCAGGTGCTTTTGCCTTA